CATATATCTGTTGGCTGCCGTTAATCTAGCTTGAGCCTGCTGTCAGTGAGTACGCCTGGTACAGTTTCATCAGTGGGGATCTGTTGGGCTGGTGCTTGGCCATGGCACACAGCCACCGGCGCCTACACGGAACAGGGACTGTGCCTGGGGGCACAGGGCACTAGCAATTCTTGCTTTCTTATCCTGACACTCTTTTATTTATTTATTTAAAGTTATTTATTTGAAAGGCAGAATTACATGGGAAAGAGAGGGGGAGACAGAGAGATCTTCATCCATTGGTTCATTTCCCCAAATGGCCACAATGGCCAGGGATGTGCCAGGCTGAAGCCAGGAACCAGGAGTTTCTTCCAGGTCTCTCATGTGGGTGCAGGAGCCCAAGGGTTCAGGCCATCTTCCACTGCTTTTCCATGCCATTAGCAGGAAGCTGGAGCAGAAATGGAGCAGCTGGGACTCGGATGCCGGCACTGCAAACGGCAGTTTAACCCGCTATGCCACAGCACCAGCTCCAATCTCTTATTTTTTGAAAATGTTTTATTTATTTTCATTTTATCTCAAAGCCAGAGAGACAGAGGTATTCTGTCCATGGGTTCAACTCCCCAAATACCCACAACAGCCGAGGCTGGGCCAGGCTGAATGAAGCCAGGATCCAGGAACTCCATCTGGGTCTCCTGTGTGGCTGGGAAGCAGAGGCCAAGTACCTGAGTCATCACCCGTTGCCTCCCAGGGTCTGCATTAGCAGGGAGCTGGAATAGGAAGTGGAGCAGGGACTGGAACCCAGATACTGTCGTATGGGCTGCGGGCATCTCAAGCCCAATTTTTTTTTCTAAGATTTATTTATTTATTTATTGAAAGGCAGAGCTACAGAGAGGCAGAGAGAGAGTGTGTGTGTCTTCCATCTTTTGGTTCACTCCCCAGTGAACAGTTGGAGCTGTGCCAATCTGAAGCCAGGAGCCAGGAGCTTCTTCCAGGTCTTCCACGCAGGTGCAGGGGTGCAAGGACTTGGGCCATCTTCTACTGCTATCCCAGGCCATAGCAGCTGGATTGGAAGTGGAGTAGCCAGGACTCGAACTGGCGCCCATATGGAATGCAGGCACTGCAGGCGGCGGCTTTACCTGCTACGGCACAGCGCCGGCCCCTCAATCAGTGTTTTAACCACTGCTCCAAACGCCCACTCCTGTGCTACAGTTCTGTTAGCAAACGTTTCTCTAGCTTCTGCTTCTCTGAAAACTGTCCTTATTTCCCCTCCCTGACTTGGCATCTCAAGGAGGACGAAGTCTGGGGTTGCCTTTTCTTCTCACCCTGGGAGGTGTTGTTCTGCCGTCTCTGGTGAGAACTCACGACCCCTTCCTGTCGCTAGGGCCGCAGCGGTCCCACGCCCGTGGCCACGGCTCCCGTTCCCTCTGGTTTTCAGCAGCTTGACCGTCGGGTCCTGACCTGTACATATTTTCTTCTCACCCTAGTTGGGTTTTGCTAAGCTTTTTTGGTCTATAAGTTAGTGCTTTTCATTAAAACTGGAAAATTTTCTGTCATTTTTTTTTTTTTTTGACAGGCAGAGTGGACAGTGAGAGAGAGAGACAGAGAGAAAGGTCTTCCTTTGCCGTTGGTTCACCCTCCAATGGCCGCCGCGGCCAGCGCGCTGCGGCCGGCGTACCGCGCTGATCCGATGGCAGGAGCCAGGAGCCAGGTGCTTTTCCTGGTCTCCCATGGGGTGCAGGGCCCAAGCACCTGGGCCATCCTCCACTGCACTCCCTGGCCACAGCAGAGGGCTGGCCTGGAAGAGGGGCAGCCGGGACAGAATCCGGCGCCCCGACCGGGACTAGAACCCGGTGTGCCGGCGCCGCAAGGCGGAGGATTAGCCTAGTGAGCCGCGGCGCCGACCTGTCATTTTTTTTTTTAAGATTTATTTTTTTTTATTTGAAAGAGTTACAGAGAGGGAGAGGCAGAGGGGGAGAGAGAGCTTCCATCTGCTGGTTCACTCCCCAAATGGCCACAACAGCCAGAGCAGGGCTGATCTGAAGCCAGGAGCCAGGAGCTTCCTCCAGGTCTCCCACGTGGGTGCAGGAGCCCGAGCACTTGGGCCATTCTCCGCTGCTTTCCCAGGCACATTAGCAGGGCAGCCAGGACTCGAACCAGTGTCCATATGGGTGCAGCTCAGCCCCCACACTGCTCCCCTTCCCACTGAGCTGGGCTTGGCTTCCAGCTCTGTGACAGAGGAGGCCCAAGGCAGGCCTGACTCCAAGGGGGGAGACCTTGTTCCTGAAGGGAGGCCATTGTGGCATCTCCCCTGGTCTCCCTGCAGTCATCTCGATCCATTTCCCCCACAGAGGCTGAGCTCCGAGCCACTCAGCACGCACAGCTCAGCCCTCGCACGAAGACTGACGGGGAGCCCACGCATCGTCTTAAGCCTCCCCCCAGGTCTCCTCATCCCGCTCTCCTGCCCTGCAGATCCCAGTCCTGTAGCTGCCCCAGCTTCTGCCCTCTGCCTCCTCAGCTTAACGCGAGCTCTGTATTTTGCCTGGACATTTTGGCCAGGACACTGTCCTTGGGCAGAGGGCACTGGGCATTTGGGAGGGTCACCCCAGCAGCTGGCCTTCTCTGTGCCTGCCACCTGGGGCCTGCAACAGTTGCCTGTGTGCTTCATCCTCTGCTATGGCTGCTTGTAGCCAGGACACTGGTGTGGCACCACACTGTGGTGGCCACTGTCCTGCCATTCTCACCTTACGAGAGAGAAACCTGTTTCTGGGCTGAACGAAAAGAGCCGTAGCTCTCCATTCCCTGGTTCACTCCCCAAGTGGCTGCCGCAGCCAGAGCCAGGCCAGGCCGACACCAAGAGCCAGGAGCTCCGTCCAGGTCTCCCACAAGGGTGGCAGGGGCCCAAGCACTTGGCCATCTTCCACTGCCTTCCCAGGGACGTTAACAGGAACTGGATCAGAAGCAGAGCAGCCGAGACTTGAACCGTCATCACTGTGATATGGAGTGCTGGCGTCACAGGCTCTTAACCTTCTGTGACCATCGTTACACATCACAGGTGGCCTAACTTAATGCTTCGGTTCTGAAGTTCACGGCTAAGATGGGCCTCCTGGTGTTTGTCAGTCCTACCTCTGGGTCCCCCTCACTACATTTGCACAGGCTCGGATTTAACATAGCATAATCATAGAGCTGCCGTGCAGAGCTACTGTTTTTATGACTCCATGCAGATGTGCGAGTAATTTAAAAAAAATTCCCTGGAAAATTTTAGTTGCAAGATGCCTTTATTTTGGTGCAGGAGAATTTTGAAATCCAGGTACGGTTTTGTGGTAATACGCATTTTCCACACTCGCGGTCCCTCCCCAGGCTTCTGGTAGTCACTCAACCGGTTCTGAAGCCCTAATCCCCGTTTTGTTTCAGGCCTAATCCTGCTGTGCCGCGTGCCAGGCCACTTGCTGCGGCGCCCCAGTCACCTCTAGGAGAGCTGAGTCTCGCTCCAAGTTCTCCTAAGGAGCTTACGGAGCAGTATTCTTTTTGAGTCCTTACATGTTCAAAAATGTCTCTACTATTGTCTCTGCGCTTGAGCGACAGTTTGGCTGGATATAAAACTCTCCCTTCCCCAGCCCTCGCGGGCACCACCACGCTGCCCGCTCCCCGGGTGGGGCCAAGACGGGTAGGAGCCTTCCACTTGGCCACCGGAAGAATCCCCTAGGCCTGGCGACTGTAGGAGAGCACGTCTTCTTAAAGATTTGTTTATTTGAAAGTCCAGGTTGCACAGAGAGAGAAGGAGAGAGAGAGAGAGAGAGAGAGAGAGAAAGAGGTCTTCCATCCGCTGGTTCACTCCCCAGTTGGCTGCAACGGCTGAAGCTGCGCCAGGCCAAAGCCAAGAGCTTCTTCCTTGTCTCCCATAGCAGAGAGCTGGATCGGAAGTGGAGCAGCCGAGACTTGAACCAGCTCCCATGTGGGATGCCGGCACTGCAGGCAGCGGCTTTCCCTGCTCCGCCCCAGCCCCGGCCCCGAGAGCACCCTCCACATCGGCTGTTCTGTAGCTTTAGCTCCAGGATTTCTTGGAGTCGGGAGGTGCTCTCCTGCATGTGGGCACCCTTGAGCTTTTTCTTCTTCTGTCTCTTTGCTCGGCTCTGGCATGTCTGGTTTCTTTGGGGTTTTGCCAATTTGGCATCTTGCTTTTATTTTATTTCATTTTATTTTTGAGAGCTGGAGGTCTCCCATCTGCTGGTTCACTTCCCAAATGCTTCTAAGTGGCAGGGACTGGGCCAGGCCAAAGCCAGGAGCCAGGAACTCCATCCAGGTCTCTCGTGTGGGTGGCAGGGACCCAGTGACACTGCCTCCCAGGGTCTGCATTAGCAGGGAGCTGGAGCCAGGCCCCAGGGTGGGGCGTATCAGCATGCGTAGTCACCAGTCACCAGGAGGCCACATGCCTGCCTGGAGCCTTGGCTTTACAAATGCCATCTCAGAGGTCTCTCCTTCTGTTCATTCACGGCAAGATGGACTGTTTTTCTCTTCTTTCCTCTGCGCTCCCTTTGTAGAAATGAGTGTTCTTGGGGGCCGGGGCTGCACCCAGGGTCAAGTGTCCGCCCCCATCGCAGGATGGCAGAGGCCCCATCACTGACCATGCGGGGTTAGCAGCCCACGGCCATATAGCCAAGGACTGCGGGGAGCCGGCTGGGGGCTCTCAGCTCCCTATAACAGGCACTGGGTGGGGTCCACACCAACAAGGAGCCTGCCTAACCCCATCATGTGCCAGTGCCCCGCCCCCTCCCTGGAATGGTTCCAAGGACTGGGGTCTTAGCCGCGGGGCGGAGCGGGGGTTCATGCTCAGCCACAGGCCCCCCACACACACCCCTCCCTCCCCGGCCTGGCCCGGCTGGCTCCCATTCCCGGCGGCTACCCCAGGGCCTCCTCCCTCAGTTTTGCCGGAGGCGGAGCTGGCGCTGATGGACGCGGCACCTGGTCAGCAGGGTGGCCCCAGAGGCAGCCTCACGCGTGTCCCTCCCCCTCCATCCCGCTCACAGGTGTGCCGCACCCACCCACTCACCAACCCTGGGATCGCCGACCTCGCCCTCCGGCCAGACCGCAGGCTCCTGGCCACCGCGGGCTGGGACCACCGAGTCCGCGTGTTTCACTGGCGGACGATGAAGCCGCTGGCGGTGCTGGCCTTCCACAGTGCTACGGTCAACTGCGTGGCCTTCGCCTCCAACGGCCTGCTGGCTGCAGGCTCCAAGGACCAGCGCATCAGCGTCTGGTCCCTCTACCCGTGCACGTGACGCCCCGACTCACGTGACTGCCTGCGCACGTCATTCCCCGCCCCCTCCACAGAGGATGAGGAGGGGCGGCCGGCACCGGACCCCAGCCTCGACCTCGTGGTGGGAAAGCATCATAGGGCCTGTGAGGACCGAAAGTCACAGCCCAAAGAGCCCGCACTCTGTTCATGAAACCGCCTTCCTGTTGGGAACTGCCACGCGTGAGAGGCGTGGTGTAGGCCTGGCAATGTTGCGTGCCTCCCCATAACACCCCACCCCCTCGCCCCGGGAAACCTGAGGGTATTTTCCAATAAAGTCTGCATTGGAAACCTGCAGGCTGAAGGTGGAGACGCCGTGGGAAGACATCCCCCAGCCTCTCCCCAACCAGGGGTCAGAGCTCTTGGCCTCGGCCTGCTGACCAGTGGGTGACCCAGAGTATGGTCCCCAGGGCCAGGCCTCAGAAGACCAAGGACCCGCAGCCACCCACCGATGCCCAGGACTGAGGCCACGGCCAGGAAAGGGATGAGCCAGGAGGGCAGAGAGAGTGCGCAGTGGGCAGAGCCAGGCCCACCAGGGACCCGGGGAGGAGTGGGCACCGCAAAGAGGTGGCAGAGCAGGTGCGGGGCCAGGTGATGGGCAGAAGGCCCCATCCAGAGTGCAGGGGTCCTGAATTCACCACAGCAAGGGCACCAGGCACCCAGAGCCTGGCAGTGAGAACCTGGCGTGGCTCCGTGCAGATCAGGGCCCCTGCATCCCTCACACGCGTCAGCATCCCTCAGCAAAGCTTCTAGGGCCATCTGCCCGGCCTCAGCCTTGGAGGGCGCTCTGGGGGAGCAGCTGCCTGGTTCTCGCCTCACCGAAGCCCCCAGCACACCCTGTTCCCACCCAAAAGCCCCTGGCATGTGCTGGGAGGGTGGGGCTGCCCCTAACCCCCATTTATGCCCCCCCTGCAAATACGACGTACTTGCAGAAGGCGACTGGAGCCTGCAGCTGTGGGGGTGTGTCCCAGGCAGGAGGACAGGGACACCTCCCCCCAGCCCAGTATGCTGACCCTGTGGCCCTTGCTCCTCCAGTGCATGCTGGGTCTGGGTGGACCTGGTAGGCAAGCACCTGGGGTCTTCCATGCCTGGAGCCACAGCAGGGCCCGTGGGACCTCTGCATTACCAGGATGCCATTACAGATCACCACGCATCTGGACCTTCTGAGACCTTCCACACATAAGAAACAGGGTCCCCCAGCACCCCACCCGGATGCCTGGCCCGGAAACAGCGCATTCCCCAAACCTCTGCTCATCCTTGTCCCGTCCCTCGAGAGGCGTGGGTCTGCCTCAGCCACTCTGCAGGTGGCTCCTACAGGCACCCAGGTGGGTGCCACAGAGGGCCTGTGACAGCAGCCGTGGGCGGGTCCATCTTCTGGAGAAAGGCACCAGGAAGCCCAGCAGGGAGCAGCAGGTGTCCAGCGAGGAGACGTGGGGCAGGTGGCTCCATGCTCAGCAGCTGGCCCCACCTACCCCGCACCCTGCTGTGAAGCGAGCTTGGCCATCATCATCAGTAGGCACTGGGTCCCTCTGGGCAAGTGGCCTCCCTTGGGCGCCTTTTGCTTTGCTCCTGAGTGTGGGCCTGGCAGTGTGCGACCTGCAGGCAGCCCAGACAGGGCTTCTGCACACCCACAGGTCAGCCCATGCTATGAGACGGTGCGGGGACTGACTCCAGGGGCCCCAGCGCCCCTTCCCCCAGCCCGGAGCCGCCCTGCTGCTGGGCCATGCATACCTGCACACTGCCGGGAGCCGCGTTCGGTCAGGTGCTCCCCACCTGTGCCTCTGCCAAGGCACCACGGAACGCCCTCCACACAAAGAGCTGTTTGCTCAGAGCAGAAGCATCGCTCCAGGGGGTTCTTGAGAAACGCTTGAGTCTCAACCAGCTATGACCTCCAAGCACAGCCCTAGTGTGGAAGACAAACCAGCCCCGAAAGCACTGGGGCTGAACTCACCGTGCACCCGTGCACTCGTGCCCCGTGCAGGTGAACTGCTGAGCCAACTCCGTGGCCTGTGGAGGGCACGCCTGCTCCACCTTCCTCCTGGGGCTCTGGCACACCTGCGAGACCTCAGCCTGCACATGGGGCTTGCAAGGAACCTCCTGGCACCGTCAGCTCCCCCGGTAGCACAGCTCCCATGCACACTGGCTCTTATCATCTGAGGCCCACAAGGGCCAGGCGGGAGTGACACGTGCTGATGAGCTGGCACACCACTGACAAGGCCCCAAACAGGGTGTCCACAGAGAATCCAGACACCAAAGGGGGCATAAAATCTCCCAGCACGAAGAAGTGGGACAAGAATGGCGAATGAAGCGAGAGAATTGGTGGTGGATGCTCAGGGCCTTTGGATGGGCTTTGTCCACACCACCCCACTGCAAGGGCTCTGGAGAGCAGCCGCTGGCCCTCTGCCCATGCACCTCCAGCAGCATGCACACAGTAGGTCAATAAAGCACCCACTGTGTGCTCGTAGGATGGCATCATCGATCATGGAGCCTGCGAGATTGCTGGCCGCCACCTCCCTGTCTTGGGCAAATGTAGGGCACCTGCCAGGTGAGTCAGACATCAAGGCAGTGGATCAGGCCAGACTGAACCAGGAATTCTCACGGGTAAACAGGAGAGGCCGCTGTGGCATTCAGGAAAAGACCTGGCGATCCCTGAGCCCTACCCAGGGCAGCGACGACTGGAGACACATTCCTGCTGTTGTCCTCACAGGCGGCCCACGTTGGCTGCAGGCTAGTGCAGCTGCCCAGAACTCAGCATCATTGTGAAAGCCATCGTGTGTGTGTGTGTGTGTGTGTGTGTGTGTGTACAAGCGCGGAGGCTGTGGGCCAGGAACACAGGAAGGGCTCTGCTGGGCGGTTTTTCATCTGCTCCACACAGCAGTGCCTGTGCAGCAGGGTGCCCTTCCCCCACGCCCTTTGCACCTTCACCACCAGAGGGTTGGGCAGGTGGGCAACCGCTAACACAGCCACCTGCCCTGCTGCATCTGCTGGGGGGAGAGGGAGGTGTCCCTGGGGAGTCACACTTAGATGAATCCAGGAGGCCAGTGGGAGGGGACGCAGACCCGGCCTCACCTCCTGGTGGAGGAGGGGCGAGGTGTTTGCAGTCTTTATAAAAGAACGGTTGTGGCATAGTGGCCTAAGCCTCCACCTGCAGTGCTGGCATCCCGTATGGCCACCGGTTCAAGTCCAGGCTGCTCCACTTCTGATTCAGCTCCCTGCTTGGGCACCTGCAGGGAGACCTGGAGGAAGCTCCTGGCTCCTGGCTTGGGATGGGCTCAGCTCTGGCTGTTGAGGCCATTTGGGGAGTGAATCATCAGATGGAAGATCTCTCTGTCTTTTCCTCTACCTGTCTTAACTCTACCTCTCAAATAAATCTTGGAAAAAAAAAAAAAAAAAAACTGTCTCCAGTGTGTTTTTTTGGTGAGAAGGAGAGAGCATAGGCAACCAAGACCCCGGAGACTACAAAGAAACTCACACTTGGGCACCATTCAATAGGAAAAGGACAGGTGTTTGTTTGTTCTTTGTTTTGTTTTGTTTTGTTTTAGGATTTGTTTATTTGTAAGTCAGAGTTACAGAGAGAGAGCTTCCACCTGCTGGTTCACTCCCCAAATGGCCACAATGGCCAGAGCTGGGCCAGGCCAGAACCAGGAGCTTCTCCCATGCAGGGGTCCAAGCACTTGGGTCATCTGCTGCTGCTCTCCCAGGCACATTAGCAAAGAGCTGGATTGGAAGTAGAGCAGGCGGGACTCAAACTGGTGCTCATATGGGATGCTAGTCACAGGCTGAGGCTTAACCCACTGTGCCCCAAAACCAGCCCCAAGATACACAGCTTTTTTGTTCTTTCTTTTTTTGCTGGTACCTTTGGTAACGTACCCAAGATATCCATGGCAAATCCAACATCTGTGTTTTCTTCTGAGTTTTATGGTTTTAGGTCTTGCATTTCAGTCTTTGATCTACTTGAGTTATTTGTGTCACTCTTCTGCAAGTGGATGTCCAGTATTCCCTGCAACATTTGCTTAAAAATGGGAAAGCAGAGGAAGATGGCCCAAGTCCTTGGGTCCCTGCACCCATGTGGGAGACCTGGAAGAGGTTTTTGTCTTCTGGTTTTGGTCAGGATTAGCCCTGGCCATTGCAGCCATTTGGGGAGTGAACCAGTGGGTGGAAGACCTCTCTGTCTCTCCCTCTCTCTCTTTGTAACTCTGCCTTTCAAATAAATAAATAAATCTTTTTAAAAAAACATTGTGTGCACCCAAAGACGTTACCAACAGAGCAACAAAGTCACTCGTGGAGTGGGAGAAAATCTTTGCAAATCATTTGTTTAATGGGATTTTGGTCCAGAATGCACAGAGAACACCTAAAACTCAACAACAAAAAAATCCTCTTGAAAAATGGACAAAGCAGGCCGGCTCCATGGCTCAGCAGGATAGGCTGCTACTTGCAACCCTGGTATCCCATGTTACAGGCCCGCTTTAAGTCCCAGCTGCTCTGTTTTCAACCTAATTCCCTGCTGATACTCCTAAGAAGGCAGTGGAAGATGGCACAGGTGCTGGGGCCCCTGCACCCCCGTGAAAGACCCAGGTGGAGATCCTGGCTCCTGGCTTTGGCCTGGCCCAGCCCTGGCTGCTGCAGCCATCTGGGGAGTGAACCAGCAGATGAAATGTCTCTCTCTTGCTCCCTCTCTTGGTAACTCTGCTTTTTGGATAGATAGATAGATAGATAGATAGATAGATAGATAGATAGATAGATAGATAGACAGACAGATCAAATCCTTTTTTTAAAAAAAAAGAAAAATAAGCAAAGGATTTGAATAGACAGACATGTCTCCACAGAAGACTTGTGACTAGCCAAATAAACATACAGCCTAAGTAATCACTGGAGAAATATAAATCAAAACCACAAGGAGGGGCCAGCACTGTGGTGCAGCAGGTTAAGCCTGTAACACTGACATCCCGTATGGGTGCCATTCTGAGTCCTGGCTGCTTTGCTTCCGATCCAGCTCCCCGCTAATGGCCTGGGAAAGCAGCAGAAAATGGCCCAAGTGCTTAGACCCCTGCACCCACATGGGAGACCTGGAAGAAACTCCTAGATTCTGGCTTTGGCCTGGCCCAGCCCTGGCTGTTGCAGCCATTTGGGGAGTAAACCAGCAGATGGAAGATTTCTCTCTAACTTTGCCTTTCTAATAAATAAATGTAAAAAAATAAGAAAATGACAAATTTGTTTTTTTAATACAATTTTTAAAAGATTGATTTATTTGAAAGGCAGAGTTAGAGAGAGGCAGAGAGAGAGAGGTCTTCCATT